ATGTCCTTAACTCTCCGACTGACAGCTTGACCGCCCAAAGGAAAACGTGAGGCACTTCGCTTCGGAGGGGGAGGGGGGTCCGGAGGTTGACCCGAGCCAGCGAGGGAAACATGTTGTGAACGTCTCTGATGCGGACTCCCAGTGTGCTCTGGGCGTCCGAAACTGGATTGCCCGTGAAGCTGTCAGCACACAGCACGAGTTGGGCTGCTTCAGGAGGCGGTCAGAGTGTATGCAGTACGCAACCATGATCTCATGGCGACGCCACTTAGTCTGTTGGTCAAAGAGTGCCAGAACCTGTGTTATCTGTGTTTCGTTGGGCGCCCTTCATGCCCTGGTGGCCCATGCAGAACTAGAACTGTCGATGTGAGACTGGTGCCCTGCGGCTTGGCCGTGCTGTCGTCGCAAGCATGCTCAGCAATGTGGTAAATATGGACATGCAGAATGCGATATGTCGCCGCGCCATTCATATTTTGGGCTGTCAGCTCTCGATAGCGTTTTAATTTTAATTGTAGACCTACTACTCCATCATGGCCGTTGCGAAGTTGTTGGTTTTCGCATCGTGCTGGCCAGGGCTTGTGACGTGGGCTGTCGAAGATGTGATGCCGGCCATTGACGATGAATGTGCATCACCAGAGTGCGCATTCCAAGCCTTGCAGTCGCGTGCCAAGAAGCAGGTCAGCGAGCAGACTGCGGAATACGCAGGGGTCCCGGGAGTCTTCGATGACAGCTTGGACGATCTGCTGCCGGATCCGGATGAAGCGACTGACGACGAGGAGGAGGACTCTTCGGAAGAGCCAAGTGGCCCTGGCCTTTGTGGCGGAGAGACCTTCGACAGCTCAAAGGAGGGATGCTGCGGCAACGTGCTCTATGACATGACCACGCAGAGCTGCTGTGGCACTGACATCTTTGACATCAAGGGTGAAGATTGCTGCAACAACAAAGAGGTTTACAACACGACCGCGCAAGGTTGCTGCAATCACAAGCTTGTCTTCGATCTCGGCGAGGAGTGCCCTGGCCGTCTGGGATACCTCTTGCTTCCGATTTCGTGGGAAGCAAACCTGCCCGTTGCAAAGCTTAGAAAGACGGCTCAACCTTAGCATACTTAGCTGAGCAGAACTGAGGTACCTGACCTTTGGGCTCAAGTGCCTGGCTCCGCCGAAGGTGCCGTGGAAGACGCAGTTCGACTGTGCGGAGGACTGGCCACCCAAGAACTACGCCGAGACCTGGCGCCGCTATTGCGCCGCGAAGAGGCGAGGCATGCACATGGCCTGGGCCATGACCCGATCCTGTGACGTAGGCTGGCTATCAGTTATGCAGCGCTCAGAGGAGGATGCCCAGATGAAGGCCAAGTCGCAGTGCCAGACACGATCCTCGGCCTACAACAAAGAAACGTGCTACATCTTTGACGCCGATGCGAAGTCCTGCTTCCGTCAGCGCTGCGGGACGACCCTCTATGATGCGACCATGATGGGTTGCTGTAATGGGGAGGTCTTCGACTCACGAACACACGCCTGCTGTGCCGGCAAGGTGTATGAGACCAAGACCACGGGATGTTGCAGCGGCAAGTTGTTCCACAAAGAGCCGCGGAGGTGCTGTGGTGGGAAGTATCTCTTCAACAGCAACACCCATGGCTGTTGCTTGGAGAAGGGTCCCCAAGTTTTCCGTTTTGGAAAGCAGAACTGCTGTGCTGCTCCCTCCGGCACCTGCAAGATTCCTACAGGCGTGGAATCATGCTGCAAGAGGGAAGGGAAAACCCAACACTGACAGTCTTGATCAGTCCGGCCATAAAACGTGGCGTTTGCGACTGAGAGATGCCTGACATCATCATTGTTCGGTCTAAAAGAGATGATGCATCTTGCCGCTGATCTGGCCTGAAAAACTCCTTGATTCCTAGATGCCTTTCCAGCGCGTGCGCTTTTGCCGACTTTCGCCGGTCTCCCTGAACATTTCGATGTGTGTCGCTGCCGTCTGAAGGTATCAAGAGCAGCGGCAGGACTCAAAAACATCTGAAAACATAACGTTCCTATACATTCCCTCTGCTCCGCCCGACCAAAGCAGATTGAGCTCACTCGCACCCCGAACCTTGTAAACCCTGAAGCTCCAAACCCAATAGCCATCATCGGAAGGTAAGCCCAAAAAACCCAAAACCAGCCCTGGATTCGTGCGCCTGATGCCGTGGTTGAAAGTGTGGTGGCATTGCTGTGCTTAGAGGCAGGGCCCGAGGGCAAAAGCAGATGTGCAGGACATGAGCCAAGGGTCGAATAAGAAAAAGCGGCGTAAAAACTAAACCATTGAAATCCCGAAAATTGTAAATTATCCGCACCCTGCCCTGAGATACGAGGCTTGGCTGGCCATGGCAGGCAGCAGAGTTGGGTTGGGACTCTCGACCCGCCTGCCCGCCTGCGACATAAAGAGCGATTGCCAGGTCTCGGGGAGCTGAGCTTCGGCTTCAGCGCCTCAGGCTGGCCCTTCGATGAGTTCGATGAGTCACGTCTCATGATGTTGGCTGGAACACCACGGCAGGCGATGAGAAGGGCCGCTCCAACCCAAGCTTCTCTTCGTGAGTAATCTTTCGAGAGAGATGAGAGCTGTAGGGGGAGGAGAGACGACCCAAAACAAAGGAAGTGACTTCGCGCGCCCGTCCACTCCACCGGAGCGCCAGGGCCTTGGGTGAGCAAACCCTCTCCCTCTCTCGCTCTCTCTTCTCCCGTCTTTCTTCCCGAGCTTGTCCATCCGAAGCCCTCAAAAGAGGCTGCGTTGGCCTGGGCCAAAACACTGGCGGACAGCTTGCCAGGCAGCAAAGCAACGATGTTTCATGTTGCTTTAATGCATAAACAGGTCAATACATACATAAAGTATACCAATATATACTCGCTCTCCGTTTCGAGCTGGTGCGCAACTTGGGCTGCACAATTGGCGGGATCTGCATGGCTCAGGAGCTGCCTGGGGCTGGTGGGCGCGCAGACGCTCAAAGACATCCGGGCCGGCTTCCAAGCCCAAGCCGTGAGCGCCTCGGCTTCGCTCGCCATTGCCTCGAGCAGGAGGCAAACCGAGCTTTTTCGGCCTCGCATCCTGAATCGTGCCAAAACTAGCCACACCCTTGAGCCCCAAATCAGGTCAGCAAAGACGTGGAGAGCAAGCCCCTCGCGACAATTAGCCCCTCCAACCTTGCGCTGAAAGCCAGCGAGAGGCCGCCAAGGGCCTCACAGTGGCAAGACGCTTCACGGTGCTGGAGTTTGTCATCTTGGTTGCCAGTTGTCCTCAGGGAGACGCCCGGACCCATCTCGCCGCACTCGCCCTCGGCGACGCCGCGAGCCCGGGGCCCCATAGCTGTGCGTGGTAGAGGTTGCTTATCAGTTCGTATGTAGAACAGTTAGAACTGCAGCTGAAGAGCAGTGGTTGGGCCATCGGTGAGGGTAGGACTCATCTGGGCGCATCTTGAGGCAGCCGTGACAGGAGCCATGTTTAGCTTCTCGGAGCCGCAGGGGCGCTTTCCTCAGCTTTAGCGAGAGAAGTCGAGGGTGGGTCGTGGTTCCTTTTGAAAACTGAATCCAAGAGAGAGGGAGAGAGAGAGAGCGAGAGAGAGAGAGGAGAGAGAGAGCGAGGGAGAGAGAGAGAGAGAGACAGAGAGCGAGAATGAGCTTGCTGGCCAAAGCTGCACTTTGCCGTGCCTTCCCCAAGGATGTGGTATAGCCTCCTTGTGAACGACATGGGCCCGCCTCCTCGCGAGGCGTGCTTTCACAAGCGAGGTCTTCCGGGCTCTTCTTGAAAAAAAATGGTTATGTCTTCAATCGGTTTTCAGGGTTATCAACCAGCACAAAAAAAGCAAAAACCTGAGCAAAAAAACAACTCTTAACTCAGAGGGCTTCCATGTCTCAGGACCTCGAGAAGGTGGTGTCACACAGATGGACCTTCCAAGGCGGGGGCTCGGTTCTTGGGGTTGAGGGCCTCCAGGGTGGCTCGAAGCTTCTCGCCGCCCATGTGTAGAGGATTTCTTCCATCGCAGCATTGTCACCTTGTGGCATGGATGCACAGTTATTAAGTCTTGTGTCCCTTCGTCTCTTTCTCTCTCTTCTCTCCGCTCTCCTCTCTCCTCTCTCCGCTCTCCGCTCTCCTCTCTCCTCCTCTCCTCCTCTCCTCCTCTCCTCCTCTCCTCTCTCCTCCTCCTCTCTCTCCTCCTCTCCTCCTCTCCTCCTCTCCTCCTCTCCTCCTCTCCTCCTCTCTCTCCTCCTCCTCTCTGTCCTCTCTCCTCCGCTCTCCTCTCTCCTTCTCTTCCTCTCCTCTCCTCTTCTCCTTCCTCCTCTTCTCCTCTTCTCCTCTTCTCCTCTTCTCCTCTTCTCTCTTCTCCTCTTCTCCTCTTCTCCTCTTCTCCTCTCTCCCTTCTCCTCTCCTCCTCTTCTCCTCTCTCCTCTTCCTCTCCTCTCCTCCTCCTCTCCTCCTCTCCTCCTCTCCTCCTCTCCTCCTCTCCTCCTCTCCTCCTCTCCTCCTCTCCCCTTCTCCCCTTCTCCTCTTCTCCCCTTCTCCTCTTCTCCCCTTCTCCCCTTCTCCCCTTCTCCCCTTCTCCCCTTCTCCCCCCAGGAAACCAAAAGAACAACCTCAAAAGAGAACCGAACTTAGGGGAACCAGGGAGAAGGTAGGGGCCAAAAGAGGAGTACCAGCCTAAGCTCGGGAACCCCAAACCCCAAGAGACACAACCCCAAAACCCCGAACAAGAGGCACCTAAGGGAAACCCTACTGGGGACAGGCCGAAGCCCACAACCCCGGTAACCCTGTGACCCTGTTTCATCTTGAGCCAATCGATTTGTGCGTGTCATCCTTGCTGCAGGGGCCATGCCAGCTTTCCAGGCTCCCCCTGAGCTGATGCACAAATGCATCGGATCATCTTTGTGACCTTTGGGTGAGGCACCTGGTCAAAAGCCTCCATTGACCTTCGGGCGAGGCACCTGGTCAAAAGCCTCCATTGAAATCGCCAGTAAAGAATATCACCATATCCCAGCCAGTCAACGAATGACGAACTCCGTGACTCCCTTCCAAGTGCGGTCCAGTCGTCGCTTGGCGTCCACCTTGTAACGGAAGATATCTCGGATGACCTGGGTCTCACCATCATTTTGAAAGGTGACATAGGTAACGCGGTCACCAGTCAACTCCTCCAACCCGAAGGGTCTGGCAGCATCGCAGGGGTCAAACAGTTGGATTCGTGGTTGTCGATGGACCCTTACATGCCATCCCCCTCGTGTCGTCCAATAATCCTCGGATCCGGCTGGTTCCACCGAACGTGGTGGTCGGACTGGGGGCGCCTTGCGTGGAGGCATAGGCGCCGACGAAGAAGCCGTAGGAGCCGATGACATCCCAGTGGATGGAGTCGGCGTCATCCCAGGGGGCGTGCTCGAGGTCATCCCAGTGGATGTGTTCGACGCCGTCCCAGTGGCCGTGGTTGATTCCATCCCAGTGGATGTTGGAGCTGAAGACGATGGTAGCGAGGACGGGTCTTCCTTGGACCGGGCCTTAATCCTCTGATATCCTGCCAAAAACCATGCTGTTTCCCACAAAAAGAGGATACTGAGCACCATAGCAGTCAGGCCCATCCAAAGCGCCGTCTGCCCGGAGTTCAACGTGACGACTGTCGCCATATCATCCATTGTCATCGCTTGCTCCATTGTTGCACCATCCACTGTACTCAACATGGCCAAACACACCAAAATCTTCATCATATTCGTCGCTTGCAGCCTGCTAGCTTGAGGTCGACAGCTTGTTGGCCCTCCCATGTTGATCAGCTTCCTCAGCTCGTCCACTCTACTCGCAGTAAGGGGTTTTGTGCCCAAATCTGCGGTCATGTAAACACCATCAAGGTGATACATCTGCCAAATATCGCATTGTAATCGCTCCTGGAGTGCTGCAGCCTTGATCTTTAACCCTCGGGTCCGCCAAAGGTTGGAGCTTCCTGTGACTAAGGCAACCGTAGCAGCATTATCGCAGTAGATCACAGCCTGAACAGGAACCTGCAATATTTCTTCCAAAACACATTTGGTTCCCTCACCATAAGCTACCCCTTCCAACACTGCACACAGTTCGCTTTCTGCTGTACTGAGGCTGGTCATAGTTTGCTTGTTGGACGACCAACCAATTAATTGGCCTGCAGCAAAAACATGTACACATTCTTGGGAACGTCCGGCATCGGGAGCGTGGCTGGCATCAGTAAAAACCTCCACCAACGCCTCTTTCCTAGGCACCCTTAACTCCTGATGCTTCCCAAAAGAATCCGGATTGGCCACATAGCGAAGGCCCTCCTCCTTGGTGGCCTTGAGGAACTTGAAGATTTGAGTTGCTGCTTCCACCGCCAAAACAGCATCCCTGGTAATGCATTGAGCCGCCTTGCTGATGGCAAAGATGATATCGGGTCTTGTACGGGTTCCAGTCCAATTTAACTCACCAATCAGCTTTTGGGCCAGCTTCACCTGCAGAGGATCCATCTCCTTTTTGTCATGAGGAAGATCATACCTCAACGCAGGAACCTTGGAAGTTCGTAGGCTGCCTTGATGCTCGCTCTCGAATCGTTCCAAGATTTCGTCGATATACGCCTCCTGCCGGAGCAAAAATCCACGGCGATCATCAGATCCTTCCGATATATCGAATCCGCAAAAACGAACAGATCCTTGGGCCACGTACTCTGGTGTAGAGCATGCCCAGAGCTGCGACAGATCGCTGAAGCACGATTGTAGTACCCCATCTTCCATGACTCCCAAAATGTCATCGACATAGATGGAAACCAAGCCGCACAATCTTCCATCCTCGGATAAAATTCTCCACAAATTTTGATCTGTGCGACAAGCCTGCCAGGTGTACCACGCTCCTCCACTCTGAAATCTTCGGCCATTAAGTTGTTGATTTCGAAATACTGCCCAGCTCTTAGGCGAAATGTCCAATCCGTATAATGCACGGGTCACCAACCACTTTTCATACGGAGGGATAATTCCAGCTCGGGACAGGATTTTCGGCGGGTCCAAAATGATGCGTTCTGTTTTGGTTTTGGTCCGCTGAAGTAGCGGGGCATTCAGGAAGGCCCCCTTGATGTCCGTCGTTCCAGCCTTCCAGCCACGACGAGCCCCCACAGCAAGCATGGTACGTAGCACAGTAATGTCAATACCAGCCGCATATAACTCCTCCCGGAGCTCCTGCTTTGTTTTGCTGCTTTCCTCGGCCTGGAGAAAGTTCCCACACGCGCATGCCCTCGCTTTGCGTTGTCCACTGACCGCCTTTCTTGTGAACACCATTTTTGCCGGAATCCTCTTCACGATCAGGCTGTCGTCCTCCTCCATGACCCGGATTTGCTGCTCGGTGATTGGCTCTATTGCAGCCTTCTCATGGCGAATCGTGTTATACTCGGCACTCATCGCTGGTGTCCACGCTGGCAGCTCCTGCAGTACCTGGGCTTGCTGAATTGTCTTCGTTTGCAAGAACACCTCCGGAAAAACATCAGTAGGAGCGCCCGTACCTCCAACATTTGTTTCCACAGACATGCTCTTCAACAGTCGAAGATCATCTTCCACCTGGTCTGCTTGCTCGTGTATGGCCCGTACCTGCGTGACTTGATCCTTCAAGGTCCAAGTGTCCGGCTCCTCGTCCAAGCTGGATTGATCCCAAAGGTCTTGTTGCAGCTTTTGTTGTTCATGTAGCCCTAATCTTTTCAATCCCAGCTGCATGCCATCCAGCAGGTCGCTCTGCTCATCAGCTTCAAAACCAATGGGTATCTCGGAGGCCACAACATGTCCCACCACGCCAGTCGCTGCTCCCCCGGTTCCAAGGCTGTTTTTGCTTTGATACAACATTCCCGCCTCCTCCGGAACCAAAAAACTTTCTGCAGCATCCAGCATTTTCAGGGCATCGCTGTGTTCTAGACGAAGTTGATAGCGAGGCCGAACATTTCTATAGTCCTCGTACCGGATTTCCGGCGTTCTCGAACGGCCTCGTCCACCTCCACCTGGGCCATCTGGACCATCTCCCGGTGGATCATCATCTTCATCGTCTCCTTGATCCACGTCCTCATCATCGTCTGGAGGCTCCTCCTCGTTTTCTTCTGCCTGCTGAGGTTCTTGCAGCTCGTAGAGGACCTCGGACCGAATGACGATGTCGAGGGGTTGCCAGTGAGGTGCCTCCTCGTAGCCCACTGTATGATTTACCATCATGGCAAACTGATGAATTTCCAGCTGATTTTCATCGTCGTACATGTAGCGGTAGTTGATAATCGTCGCCATGGTGAGATCCGGCCGATCATCTGTTAGCGCCCGCCTCCTTGATTCTGGATCATCCTCATCAACCAAATGCCTCTGAATTACAGGATCGATCTGCATTCCCTCCTCAGGCGGATTGACCCGGTCCAATCGAATACTTGGGTCCCTCAGGACTTGATTGGGGTCGATTTCCGGATCTGGTAGCAAACCTGCCCACCTGAAGCGATACTCGTAGGCTGCTGAGGCCGCCTGGTCGACAGTTTCCGTCGTAGGTAGGATGCCATCCGGTGGGAGCACTGGGGACCACTCACCTTCCCAGTCGTCCACAAAGCGCTGCAAGGGATGTGGATCCAGGTCGTGAGCATTGGCCTGCTCATGGGTCCATCTCTCCTGAAACAACCGATCCGCAGTTGCAGCATCCAACACAGTGTACTGAATTTGTGTATGCTCCACTTGCCTTGCAGGCCCATCGGCTTCTCCTTCCTCTCGCTGTCGCAGGCGAAGTTTGGCGACCCTTGGCCTAGGGGCAGTCGTAGCGCTGGTGTTCGAGGGCGAGGCTAAACTCAAACTCGATCTCAAAGCTTGCTTATACCCCCCCCCAGTGCCTGCTATAGGAAACCTGCAGAATACAGGCTGGCCCTTTTTCCAGGCTCCAACCTGGCGTGCACTGCCAAGGAAAAAGCCACCGCCAGCACGCGTGGGCCCTTTTCTTCACCATCCTCCGAAGCATGCCACTTGCGTGGATCCAATCTCATCGAATCCCCGCAACGAAGGCGATGAATCTGGCCCGGCTTCCAGAGGCCTGGGCGAACCTCCTTCCAGACCAACTCTTCCGAGCCCAGGCCAGTGAAGGGTGGTTCCACTTCAGTCCAGATAGAAATGGAGGGTGAAAGGCATACCAGCAGATTACTCGTCCCACGTTGATTGAAGATATCACGATGCGGCCCCAGCCAATTGTTCACCGAAAGGGTAGACGAGGTCCAGGTGTCATTTGGGAAAGCAGCTGCGAGGATGGCATTCAGGACCTGAGTTCGCAGCCGATCAGGTTGTTGGGTTGTGGTATTTGTGATCCCAATGACTCCCCCTCGCCTGTAAACCCCATTGGTGATATAGAGGCCTTCAGAGGTTTGGCGGTCGCTGCGTAACTTTGTCCCGCTCAAGGAATCCTGCAGCCACTCGATTGTTTCTTGCAAGGGTCCAGAGATCCAGGAGTCCGCCTTTTTCCAAGCTTGTACCAGACTGTGTCCAGTTTGCTCCCTGTCATGCCCTGGACAGGACAGTGCTGCTGGTGCTACCGACAATGAGGCCAAGCCCTGTTTGCCGCGAGCTCGCTGTCGAGGAGGCACAGCGTCCACTTCCACCTCATCCATGGCCGAAATTGCACCAGTATCCGCCATTTGCGCATTTTGAAACAGCGTGGTTGTCGTGAAGAAATCGTTTCCCACTTTCACCACATAGCCCCTGGAAACATGTTGCGCCGGGGCAATCGCCACGCCTTTGTGGACACGATCATCCCATTGTTCAGCCTTATGCCAGTGTCTTTTGCGGATCCAAACCACTGTACCAAACGGAACCAAAGGCTTGACAGGCATGCCCAGTCGGGCTAAGGCCCTGCGAAGGCGTCGCTCAGCCACCCATCGCCAGGCGCCCGGCCAAAGTCGCTTGGCCGACGTTTCACCATGCAGCAACGTCCTGGTGGCCCTTTTGCAAATACCAACTGCAGCTTCTGCCCTGCCATTTTGCTTGTAGGATCCGCCCTGTCCACAGGTTTGATAAATTCCTCTATCTTGAAGCCAACGACAGACGGGGGCATTGAGAAACTCGCCTCCTTTGTCGGTATGAAACCTGGCCACATGCATTCCCCACATTTTCAGCTTGCTGTAAACGCGACCTATGGCTCCAACCACAGATGCTGGGGTCTTGTCTCGTAGGCTCTCAGCGAAAGTGAGCTCCACCATCTGTAGCTTGTCCAACTTCAAGTCTTGAGGAGCCACCGAGTCCGCCTGTTCGCGAGCCTTGACCAGATATTGTTTCCAGGCTTCAGCTTGTTCCTGAACGAGGCGCTTCTGAAAGTCCGTGAGGTTCTCCTTAACAATTCCTCCTCCAAAACCTCCTCGTTGCACTCCCATTCACCGGGACCCACCTCATCGTTCCAGTCCTCCTCGCAGTCCAGCCCATAATCCCTTAGGACGACGGCTTCTTCATCCTTTGCCTGAGGTGGTAGTGGCTCATCCAGTTGGGAACACCGCTCATCATCCAAATCCGGCTCATAATCCGGTGTGTCCTCGCCCAACAGCGATGTGGTGTCTACACCCACCAACCCGTCATCGTCCAGCAAGGATGCGGCCTCATTGACTGCCTCTGAAGACCTAGGCTTTTCAGCTTGATCACCTCTTTCAGGAATTTCCACCATTGGTTCCGGCTCCAAATTTGCAAAGACCGGAATGGTGTAAACCATCGTGCACATGTACTTCACCCGACCATACTCATCCAAGCCCACCGTGTAGGGACCACTCAGATCGGCGCTAATCGTGTAGGCTTCGCTGATAGGCAGTCTCCGATGCTGGCCGTCTTTGGCTCCGCCTGCTAGGCAGTGTAGGCAATCGCGACGAAAGGGAATATGGCCTTGGGCAACATGTTGTCGGAACTTTGTATCCAGACGATGGATTGATAGCCCCCCCGGGACCAAGCGCAGCAGCAATTGTAGAACTGCCCACTTCAAACCATCAGGCCACTCATGCCCTTTGGTCATTTCTTGAGGATCCAATCCTTCCTCCCCCGAACCACAGTCTTTGCAGTTCACCATTGAAACCTCATCGAAGTACAACTTGTGCGATACCAGCAGTCCTTGCTGTTTCGTGGTCCGGTGACCCAAATCGCCAAAGTCGACTTCCAGTTTTTCCAACTTGTACTTCGCTTGACAATGTTGTACTTCTGGCCAATTCCAGATTTCCGGTTTCGAAGCTTCGGTGTTTTCTCCATTGTTTGGCGCCTTGTGTTCCAACACCAGACCCACCGCCTGGCTGTTGTTGTGAAGCCTCCTTGCTTCCTCTGCGACCATATACAGCACCAACTGCCTTAGGATCAGGACATTCTCCTTCTCCACAGCCCGCAGGTCGCGAGGACCGAGCTCAGATCTGCCAAGTCGGTCTTGAGGATCATTCCCCCTCCATTGCTTGGGTGCCTCAAACGTCTTGTCTGGAGGTCCGCCCATCACCATTTTGACATGGCCACTTCGGGCCAACTCCAACAAAAACCCATACATTTGGTCGCACAGTAGGTTTTCAGGCAGGTCCACGTCGATAACGTAACACCCATCCATACCCTTGCCATCCAGATAGTGCTGAAAGAAGCCCCGGGTTTTGCCAGCAAACAGGTTCAGTACGATGAACTTCGAAGCCATCATGGCCTTCCTTGTCCTCCGGCTCCAAGGCAAGCAGTCATTTCCTTTGGCATAGGCAGGAACGGTTAGGGCATCGATGACCCCCTCTGGCAGATGCAAAAACTGATTTTGCAACCAGCGCTTCATGGCTACGGGATCCTCAAACACCATAGTCCCTTCTTGCTCCAGGCCACCTCCATCTTCCTTCTGGATTCGCAGCTCCTTCACGAAGGCCATCTTGTCCCGCTTCTTCTGCTCAATATCTTCAATGAGCTTTAAGGCCAGTGCTTCTGGAACCTCTGGGCATCCTGTAGCCAATCGTACTGGAAGCTGGCCAAACTTCGGGACCTTGATGCAGATACCACCTTGATCCCAGGTCACTCCTGTACCCAGCTGGATCAGCTCGTGCATGGCCACAATGGGACTCGTGGAGGGGTCGTTGGTCAACAGCGTGCCAGCATCGTTAATCCGGAGTTGTGTCGAGCCGGTAGCCAGGGCCACTGTAATCGGGGCAGCACGTTGGAACTCCCGATTGGACTTTGCCTTTCTGAGGCAGGCCGTAGCTCCACCATCCAGCAATCCCCAGCCATCCGTTTCACCTCGCGACGCCGCCAATCTCATCGTCTTGATGAGCTCGGATGCCTCCTGAAGAAAAGCTGCCTGTGCCGTCGAGGACGAAGCGGAAGTCGTAGAGGACGCTGGTTCGTCCGGCTCCACCTTCTTCACGATGGGCTTGGGCTTTCCCTTGTGCTTGCCTCTGCCCTTTGCTTCCGTGGCCTTGTCATTGGTCTCTTTGGCAGCGGCTGTGTCTGCAGAGGTGGTAGGATAAGGGCAGTTGGCCTTCTGGTGGTCTTCTGCAGAACAGTTGTAACACCTCCCCACCATCCTGGCCTTGTCGTGCGGAAAGGAGCAGGCATTGCCCTTTCGACACCCCTTAGGTGTCATCCAGTTCCAGCATTGCCCATGTTCCCGCTGTCCCTTGTCTTTGCCCTTGCCCTTTCCTTTCGCTTCTGTTTCCATGGCCGCCACCTTAGGTCTTCGTCCTCCAAGTTCGGAGCCAGTAACCATTTCCAGTTCCGCCAACAACATCTGCGCGAAGGACTTGGCAGAGGACAAGGTAGGGGCATAGTCAATCTTGTTTTCCAACCGAAAAGTTGACAGCCGGAATAAGCTTTGCCCCGCGATCACCGCAGCTGTAATCTGGTCCAGTGCTTTAACCAGCAGTGTTGGGTCTGGGAGTGCCAGTTTCAGCTCCTGAGCTCTGGTAAGGGCTCGGGACCACTTTCTGATTCCAGCGATGCCGTCCGTCGCCGTGTTCACCGCAGCTGGAGCAGTTAACGTTCGTAGCAAAGCCTGCTTCTCCCCTGCTCCTCCCGGTTGATACTTGGTCAGCAACCGAAACAGCATAGGAATGGTTTGCGCCGCTCGGATGGTTACCATTTCCTCCTTAACATCTGCAGGTAACGCCGCCAGCGTGAGCGCCGCGCCTCATTGTTCAGTTCGTGACCACCTGGAGTGCTCAAACAGTGCTGTCAGCCCCATCACCTTGTCTCGGAGCTCCAACCTCTTCAGCGGCGAGGCGGCCAGCCAGTCATCGTAATAGTTGTAGGCCGTGCCTGTAACCTGGTCCCACCACTCTGCCGCCGTGGCTGAAATTCCCGCCATCATCGGTTTGACCACCGTCAGCCAGTCTCCAAGAATCATTCCAGCATCCTCGGTGTTGCCCTTGGAGATCTCCAGCTTAGGCAGATCCTGAATACTTCTGGCGGTCTCCTCCGAAGGCATCAAGGCCGCTGAATCCTCAGATATTAAGGCCCTTGGTCTCGCCCTCATCTCCGGAGGTAGTGGTGGGGGTGGCGGTACCACCTCCCAAACTGCCGGTCCCATGGCCTGCCACGATGTATCCACGCCAGCTGTTACCCCAAAAACTTTGGGTGTAGCCATTGAAGGCCCCGAAGGAACACGTGTGCCACCAGGTGTATGGTGGCTACTGGGGAGTGGCGGTGGTGGAGGAGGCGTTGCTTCCGCTGAAGGAGCAGTCTCTCCAGCCCTCGCAGCTTCTCTGGCCAGAACCTGTTGCAACTGCATCTGTAGCTGTTGTACTTGAACTCGCAACGCTACCAACTCACGATCCCTTTCATCCAAAGAAACATTGGCCACACTTGCAGGCTGTCCCAAACCAGGAGGCGTGGCAATCGTGTACTGCTCCGGTCCTTCTGTCACCACGACCGGTGTACGAGTTCCAGTCTCCTGTTCACCCAGCTCCTGCGAAGGATGAGATCTAGCCGACCGCATCGAATCGGACGACCTAGGTTGGAGATCCCCCAAAGCAGCCTGGGCCTGGGAACCCGCAGAGTCCTGTCTTTCCAGATTTAAACCAGCAAACATTCTTGCCAAAGCCGCTTGATCCACTGCTCCCAATGCCGACGACTGAGAAGATTGTCTATCCTGCTCCAACACATCCAACCTCGAAGTTAAAGGTTGCAGCAAATCTCCCAGCATCTGTCTCATCGGGCCCATCCAATCTGTTTGTGTAGGGGCTGGTTCAGGTCGATGTAGCGGCTGTCCCAAGGCTCGGATCTGCTCGTAGGTGTTAAACGCCAGTCCAGGATTGTTGCCTTGCACTGCAGCATTATTTGGAGTCCATTGTGTCATCTGCCCAGTCAAGTATTGCTCGCCTGTTCCACTGTCAAAATGACCTCCAGGAAACGGCGCGCTGGTAAAACCAATATGGGCTGATGGACCAGGACCACTGACCGATTGTGCCACCGCTGTACCAGGAACTGTTGATGGCCCGGCACTTTGCTGAAACTGAAAAACCTCTGTGCTTGCACTTGTAGCTGCCCCGATACCTTCTTGCACCTGCAGCACACTTCCACTAGCTGATGGACCAGGACCGCTGACCGATTGTGCAACCGCTGTATCAGGAACTGTTGAGGGCCCATCACCCAAACCTGTGGAAATCACTGCACCAGCTGTTGTACCAGGAGCAACTGTCGTAGGGGTATCACCATTCCCATCCACCTGAGACGATGATATTGTAGGCCCAGAAACTGTACCAGACCCACCATTGTTTTGCCCGGTAGTCGCAGGATTTGCAACATTGCTTGCACCGCTGCCACCACCAGATAAACCATTGTTGCCCTCCTCAGCACCAAGTCCCCCACCTCCCGCAGCAAGCGTGGATCCCAGTGCCTGAGCAAAAAGCTCGTCAACCGCATCTCCTCCATGCTCCTCCATCGGAGCCTCATCTGTGCCAGAGGAAGCTTCCAGCAAGAGCGAAGACGCAGGATCCATGGATCTTTCCTAAAGCCCTGAAAACACTAACCGCACAGAACCACGACACTTGGGCTCATAACTCCAGGAAACCAAAAGAACAACCTCAAAAGAGAACCGAACTTAGGGGAACCAGGGAGAAGGTAGGGGCCAAAAGAGGAGTACCAGCCTAAGCTCGGGAACCCCAAACCCCAAGAGACACAACCCCAAAACCCCGAACAAGAGGCACCTAAGGGAAACCCTACTGGGGACAGGCCGAAGCCCACAACCCCGGTAACCCTGTGACCCTGTTTCATCTTGAGCCAATCGATTTGCGCGTGTCATCCTTGCTGCAGGGGCCATGCCAGCTTTCCAGGCTCCCCTTCTCCCCTTCTCCCCTTCTCCCCTTCTCCCCTTCTCCCCTTCTCCCCTTCTCCCCTTCTCCCCTTCTCCCCTTCTCCCCTTCTCCCCTTCTCTCCTTCTCTCCTTCTCTCCTTCTCTCCTTCTCTCCTTCTCTCCTTCTCTCCTTCTCTCCTTCTCTCCTTCTCTCCTTCTCTCCTTCTCCCCTTCTCCCCTTCTCCCCTTCTCCCCTTCTCCCCTTCTCCCCTTCTCCCCTTCTCCCCTTCTCCCCTTCTCCCCTTCTCCCCTTCTCCCCTTCTCCCCTTCTCCCCTTCTCCCCTTCTCCCCTTCTCCCCTTCTCCCCTTCTCCCCTTCTCCTCTTCTCCTCTTCTCCTCTTCTCCTCTTCTCCTCTTCTCCTCTTCTCCTCTTCTCCTCTTCTCCTCTTCTCCTCTTCTCCTCTCCCCTCTTCTCCTCTTCTCCTCTTCTCCTCGTCTCTCGTCTCTCTTCTCTCGTCTCTCTTCTCCTCTTCTCCTCTTCTCCCTTCTCTTCTCTCTTCTCTCTTCTCTCTTCTCTCTTCTCTCTTCTCTCTTCTCTCTTCTCTTTCTTCTCTCTCTCTCTCTCTTCTCTCTTCTCTCTTCTCTCTTCTCTTTCTTCTCTCTCCTCTCTTCTCTCTTCTCTTTCTTCTCTTCTTCTCTTCTCTCTTCTCTCTTCTCTCTTCTCTCTTCTCTCTTCTCTCTTCTCTCTCTCTCTTCTCTCTTCTCTCTTCTCTCTTCTCTCTTCTCTCTTCTCTCTCTCTCTCTCTCTCTCTCTCTCTCTTCTCTCTTCTCTCTTCTCTCTTCTCTCTTCTCTCTTCTCTCTTCTCTCTTCTCTCTTCTCTCTTCTCTCTTCTCTCTTCTCTCTTCTCTTTCCTGTCTCTTTCCCCAAGTCAGTCGCAGTATATGTGTCTCTGCCGCAGGCGCGCTGGAGCTGGCTGCGAAGCTTCGGCACGATTCCGGATGCCTGAAGGCTTAAGCATGCAATACCAGCCAAGAGCTGCCAGGCAGGGCAAGAGCATCTGCTACTTCATCCTGCCATGCTCCCGGGCTTGCAGGGCTTCGTCGTGGGAATGAGGAAGCAGCAAGCAGTCAGGGGAGGGGGAGGGGGAGGGGCTTCAGCTGAATTGAGGGCTTAAGGCTTAGGGTGCTTGAAAAAATTTGGATCGGCTTTGTCAGCCTGTCTGGTCCAGGCGGGTGGTGAGCTGCTCGCAGCTGAGGTGTCTCCTAGAGATCCAGAGGAACATCCAGATGGATCAGGACTGTTTCAAAACCCTAACAATTAAACCTACAGTGTACCGTGACACAGTGGAGCCTGACACCCGGAGCCGCAGAATACGGGGCGTGCTCGTAGTGCATCCATGGGACATCCTTATGACGCAAGGTTTGACAAGCTGGAATGAGAGCAAGCAAGCAAGCAAGCCAGTAGAATCTACCCCACCCCCCCGCAGGACTTAATGTGGGGCCCTCAAAAGCACCAGGCTCGGGATCAAGGGCAACATCTGCACTTCCTCTTTGCCAAGATTGGCGCGAGGCGATAAGAAAAATCCAGCACGGTGCACGCACTGCAGGTGCAACACCCGAAGTCTGACATCGACGCAACTGAGACAAGTTGAAAAAAATCACACAGCCTGGAGCTGGCAAGGCAGGCCAGGCTTGCCAGAAATCTAGCAAACGCCCTGGTGAGCCGCGCGTCGACAACCTGAGGTGCGAAACCTTTTTGTAGGCGGAATGTGCTGAAATGCGGGCCCTACGCTGAATTCAAGACATTTCAAAGGGGTCTACTTTATTTTCCAGTGATAGGCAGCCCAAGCTCGAAATCCGCACGGCGTACTCGAGAGGAGGGGGAGGCTCTACACTCGAGTCTCCTGGACGCGTGCTCCCAGCTGCTTTTGGTAGAGAAATGGGGGTTTACGAAGACAAGGGATCCCAAATATAGGCCCTCAAATCGTAGGATCCCCTTACCATGTGAGCCTCAATAAGGTACCCTATTCTCGTAAATCCCCCAAATGCTGCGCCCCGAAACAAGGGTGTAAAGGATTTGGGGTACTCATCTAGTGTTGAATTGTTCTGACAGATTCTCGTTGTTCTGGCAGATTCTAGCAGTTAGCACTGAGAATTCGCTGTTCAGGCAGGCTTCAGCCCATGTTCAGACCGTGCCAGGTGCAAGGCCTTTGTGCGATGCCAGTGCCGAGAAGGAAAGATGGGGGAGATGTACCAGGCATGGTTGTTTTCGCAGACAAGTCCTAAGTGCCACCTTGGACCGTGAGATGGTGTCAGGTTCTGACTCACTTCATTAGCAACTCGTTGATCTTCTTCGAGTGGGAGAGGCAATTGGCCTCGTGACGGTGCTCCTGCGGTTCCGAGCGCAACTGAGTGCGGAGAGGTTCCTGAACGAGATCTTCCAAGACACCCGGGCCCACCAAGAGGCAACTGGACTTCGGGGATAGTCGATATAACTTGAGGGGAGGGGGGCATTTGACAAAAGCATCGGAAGTCGCGCACCCCTTTGCCTTTGCAGCGCTTCTTGGTGACGCACCTCGAGCAAGTCTGGACAAGGTACAAGAGGCTGGTCGCTGGGTGGCGTCTCATGTATGTCTCACCAAGCAACGGAGCATCATGCACCAGGTTGAAAGAGATCCTTGAGACCATGTTCGACTACCTGGATGCAAACTTCACCTGGCGCCATCGTCTCCCCAAAGTGCCTTGACAACCAAATCTTGGGCTGGGGGGGCCTCTTGGGGGGGGGGGGTGGGGGAACCCCCTCCAAGTCGGCTTCGGGCTTCCTGGCCCCAAAGCCCTCAATTTTTAGGCCCCACCGCAGCGTGCCAAGGTCGGCGAGCTGGTCAGAGATCACATGCGGAGGCTTGGCACCTTTGGCAATGCCTCGGGCCTTGGGAGTTCTCCGCCCTTTCCCCTATCTCCCGACTTGCTGACTCCCTGAATCAGTGACGTGTTTCTGACTTCTGGCTTTAAGCTGTCCGAACGCCTCCGAATCATTCCGCCCCTCTTTCCCGGAACGCCTGTGTCCGACAATGAATCCTGGTGGAGCATAGCATACCATCCCCGTCCCGCGCAAGACGCCAGGCGCTGCTTCTCGTCCGCAGTGATCGCAAAGAACGAACTCTTCTCATCCCAGGCGCTGTTCCTGCATGGTGTTCCACTGTGAGTCCGATGCTTCGCGTTCGCACATGACAGGGCGGGCGAGATGAGACACTCAAGCAGGTGAAGTTCACGATGGGTTTCGTGACGTAGTCGGTGACAGGCTCTTGTCACAAGGATATCCTGTGGCTCTACACTAGGCATACTAGGCCCTAGGCTTGGCTTTACCAGTTCTGAAGCGTATAATGGGTAGTAAGTCAATGCGCATGCCTCTTGCGAATGCTATTTCATACTAGCATCAGCGAACAGCTGGGTGCACACAGCTCCGTGGATGTGGAAAGGTCCCAAGGCAAGGAGATTTCAGCTTGGAGGGTTTAGAACCTTCTCCTTCCAGTACCAGAAGGGCGACACGGGGTTTCAGCGCAAACAGAGCCACAGGCCCCTTTTAATCTCTTAGATGCTAGGTGAGGCTGGCAGAGGGATCCAGAAGGCTGGTCTGCCAAAAACCCAGCAAAAAACCACCCCGAAAGCCACCCCTTGAAGCCTCAATGAGGCCTCGTAAAGGCAGCCAGCAAGCGGGCCCAATGCCCGATCTCCTGAGTTCTGCAGTCTTCATGCTCACAAAATGCTGAGCTTCTCCTCTGCAGGGCTAAGGTTTGGGTTTGAGGATTTGAATGACTCCCACAAAGAACCCCTCCATGCGCTGAAGCGGGAAAACCCGCCTGCGGCCTGCCGAACGGCAAGTGCCACCAGGTGGGCGGAAGGGCAGAGACCCTGAGCCGCAAAGCATAGGGAAATACAAAGGATGGCATTGTTCATGGTGTTCATTGTTCGTGGGCATTTCTCAGCTTTTCATGGCATGCTTGTGGCAAGCACGCATGTCCACTTCAAGCTTGTTTTGCCTTGATTTCGAGGGCTCGAGATTGTGTTCTAAAATCTCCGGCTCCTGATTCACTGATGACCAGAGATCTTGGTCCCCTTGCCCAGATTGGGCTTACCGTCTGGCTACTATGTGGCCTTGCTTGCTCTGATGACACAGGATGTGCATCTAACGCCCCATCGCTTCTGGCTGTGAAGGTGGAAACCCAGTCGACCGACCTTGCTGTCCTCGAAGACGATCTGATTGCCAGGAATCTCACAAATGGCTCCAATGTGACGTTGGAAGGGCTCGTCAAAAACAACGTCCAAGATAACATGAAGGAGATCAACGCCCTGCCGAACCTGGAGAACCGTAGCAACGAAACTGGCGATGAGACTCAGAGCAACGAGACTCAGGGCAATGGTACCGTGAACGGTACCACTGGCAATGGCACATCCCAGAGCACCCGGCCACGACACGGTTTCGGGGAGCTGGCTGTGAATTTGGAGTTTATCACTCTGAAGCTGGCGCAGCTGGAGACCGTGGCGGAGCTGCAGCTGTTGCGGAATTGTTGCAGAGTTGATGCGCATTTGACGGTCTTCAGTAAGCTCATGCCCCATGACACAAACGCATGCGTATTTATTGCACACTTCAGGGTTTCAGGTCCTGGTGCAACTTTGCCAGCAGGCTCATAGTGGGCTCAGCCCGTCTGAGGTCGCCGAGCTGCAACAAGTCGAGATCCACAAGCTCCTCAAGAAGGTCGACGAGCAGGACGATTCTTCTTCTTCTTTCCGGAGATGTTTTGATTACGATTCAGTATGTCTAACGCAATCAATATTGCGTTAACGTTTTTAATCTTCGGTATTCCGAATGCGATGAATATTGTTGTACACACTTGCACGCGCCGCCTTGCGAAGGAAAGCCAAGTCTTATGTCACTTCGGGTTTGAAGGGGTTTTTTTAGGGGCGGGGCCACAAGGCGTCCCAACCCGCAGGGAGCACTCGGGCAATTTTCACAGGGGAGGGGGGGGGGGGTGCAGCTTGGAGACTCTAGACGCTTCTTGGCCGGAAGCCGAGGCGACTTTGTATTTCCGATATCATAATCTTATTGCGTGGGAAAGGGCACTCGGCACTGTGCAGATTTGGACAGGACCAGGAAATCAAGATGCTGAAAGCCCAGACGGGCACAGATTCAACAACTCCGGGGTCCAGCTTGGCCCAGGAAGCAGAAAGGGATCGCGTGGAAGAGGCGCAAGCCGTCTTCAAGAAGGTTGTGCAGAAGCATCATCACCAAAGGCAAAAGCGAGAATTCGTAACGCCGTTCTCAGGCCGGGGCACCGGGCGCACGTGATCTCTCGAGTCTCGAATTCATGCGCAGAGGATTTCACGAAAGCACAAAAGCGCGTGAGAGAGCGCGTGAGAGGGAGAGAATGGAGAGAGGAGCGAGGCTGAGCGAGATCAGCTCCTTGTGTGAGGCGCCCGACAGGGCCAGGCCGACAAGGCCGGCAAGGCCGGCAAAGCGCAGAAGGCGGCGAGGCCCTCGGCGAGGCATCCTGTGAAAGCAAAGGGCGAGGCAATGATGCAGCGGGCGCAGACGTCTCATGGAGGCTCTCCGCTTTCCCTCCGCTTTCTCTCAGCTGCGCGCTTTCTTCATCTTTGCGCTCTGAAAGACTGGTGAGGCAACCAAAGCTCGCTGGACACGGCGGTTTCTGCGAAATTTGTGGACGACTTTGTGGACACCGTCAGTGACGTGGGTGGCTCCGCGCTGGGGACCATTACGGACCGCTTCCTCACTGTAGGTGAAGGTTTCGTTGGTTGGATGCGTGTGGTTTTTCCCGCGAGCTTGCCCGCAGGCCGAATGTTTATGTATGCTTATCACGGCTCGGCCCAGTTGGGAGCCTGAAACATATCCTTCAGAATCAGTGTACCAGAGGAACCATCCCGCGCTTGAGCGCAGCTTCTAGGGCTCTTTTCTTTGGGATCTCTCCTTCCTTGCCGTCAGGATGGAACTGGCATGATTGGGGATGCCTTGGGCGACGCCTACCAGCATGCGGCAGATCAGGTCTCCTTCGTGTCAAGCTCAGCGGGGCATAGGCATGTGGAAGGAGAGTGAAGCGAGGCAAGGAAGGCACCTTAGGTGAGTCCCGTGTAAGTCGAGGTGGCTAACACCGTGATCGACACCGTGGAGCGGGGTCTGGAAAGTGCGTAAAAGAAGGATGTAGCTGCATAAGGCTCCCTTGATGTATCGCCCAGTGAGGAGATGGCCGTGACTATCCTGCTCCGTGGCTTTACAGACTGGGATGCGTCCTGTCCTGACATGCAGTGGCCGAGCATGACTGTGAACTCCAACGGGCTCTATGTCGACTGGGGAAAACAGTACTGCTACATCAGGCCAGCTTCAGCATGTCGCAGCAACCAGCCCACAAATCTAGGTCCGTAGCGTGAACACGCGTGAATACGCTTGATGCCTTGGACCCCCTAGGGCCTAGGGACGGTCAGGCTCATGGGCCAAAGCATCACGCTCCTCGACTTTGACTTTGGGGACACGAGCCTTTCTTGGCCAGAGCCCATCAAGACCGTCACAAGCTCAGCTGGGGGAAGGAGAGTGATCGAGGCATCTGAGAGACCTTAGGCCTTGAGTCCCGTGATAAGTCGAGGTGACCCGCTATGGCCTGGAACCTATCAAGGCGCCATGGTTGAGAGCTTGGGGGAGGGATGTCGTTTAAATTTTTTCGAGGAATGACTTGACTGTCGGGTGGCCCCCAATAAATTCTCCCCAAGATTGGTACGCTGGTTGACATGGGTCTCTCGTCATGCCAGAGGCGGTGGTGAACATCGGCAGGGAGGTCGTCAGCTGCGCCACGGAGGGCTCCGTCACCGACGTCTTCAAGTGCTTCGGCAACAAGCTCCTCGAGGTGGTGCCTCGGCTCTTTACTACACCCCAGTCGTCCAAACTAGCCCCCGACGATGTCATTGGAGCTCAGGTCCCACCTTTGAACTTCTTGAATCGGGTGGGCGACATGATTCAGGCCATGCTGCCTTCTCTTTCGCGGCTTTAGCATTATGTTTCTTCAAGATACCAGCGACGACACGGCCACGTTTCTTCAAGCATGCTCCGGCAGACATCGGCCATACGGCAATTCGGATTAAGCCGCAGCAGTCGCCAGGAGTTCATCGAGGTTTTTGCCCACATCGCCACGGCAGTCATAAACACGATCCTGAAGGCTTGCAGGGCTTGCCACACCTGAGTTAGCGTCTTACTAATGAACAGGATTTCTTCATCCTCAGGATTGCAGTCATCCTTGAAGGACAGCAGCTCGCTGATTCAGCAGGCCGTGAATTCAACCTTCCCTGCTGTGGGCGACGCTCCTCGGGTGCACCACGCCGGGAGGAATCTGGTCGTCAAGACCCACGCGCAGCGCCATCCGGGTGCATCCCGGGAGCCCTCCAGCCCTGCGCCCCAGCCGGCCGAGCGAGCGCAAGGCGCCACGGATCCGGTGGGAGCCGTGCAGGTGGATGCGCTTCAGCAGGAGCGGGGTGATGACGATGACGATTCCCAGGGCGGAATCTCCTTTGAGATCCATGACAACGACGCCAACTATGCCACGAAGCTGATCACACAGTTCGGTGGCAAGGAGATCGACACCAGCAGCTGCCTCGCCTTCGCACCTAAGACCCGCCGGGGCACCAACAATAAGGCCGGCTAGTGAGGCGAATAAGCATCCACAATCGAAATTGCTGGCCCAGAAATGGAGCCACGACTTTCTCCACAAACTTTCTCCCAAAGTCTGCAGGTGACGAAGCGAGACTGGCAAGTAGGGGCTGGGGAGGACTTCATTCAGCTGGAGCCCTGGGCGGCTGCTCTCTCTGATCTCAACTTTGGGTTCTTAGTTACATGTAGTTTACCTTAGTTCTACGAAACTCCGGCTAGTGCTTCGCGGCTGCCATATTACATCGGGGACCAGTATGTACATCTGCGGATGCTGGTATGTGGAATGTTAGTCGTGTTGGTTGCAACTGGGGTGTGTTGGGCACACGCGTGTCGAGAACAGGGGGGGTGCGTGTTGGGAACAGCCCGCAGCTGTGTCGGGAACACGCCAGGCACGTGTCGGGAACACTCCCAGGCCAGCGTGTTGGGAACACGTGCCTTCACGGAGGAAGGGCCAAGACCCGAACATTCCAAACCTCAGCCTGGAACTCGGGCAACTTGTAACGACGACCCAACTCTGCAGGTTTCTATACAGTCCTCTTTCGAGTACTTGGAGTTGGACAGTCTTCTTTTTAGTTTCCTAAAAGACTAAACTTTGCAGCCCGTCAAACTTGACGAGGCGAACACATCCGACGTGTCATGAACCCTCACACGAGCACACCAAGCTTTTTTCGGCCCCGCGAAGATGTCCGCGCATCCAGGAGAAGGACATTGAAGCCTGAACAGGTACACTACGAGAGGGAGCTGAAGGTTTGGGAAACCATTGCAGAATGCATCATCTCAGACCCAGTAAAAAACAAAAACCACGTCTGGGCCTGCCCCCATGTTTTAGCAAGAGAAGAAAAAGATGTATGGGAAAGCCGCAGCATGCAAATCATTCTTACTGGCAGCAGCACCTTCACCAGGATGCCAGGGTGCTGCTGCCAGTAAGAATGATTTGCATGCTGCGGCTTTCCCATACATCTTTTTCTTCTCTTGCTAAAACATGGGGGCAGGCCCAGACGTGGTTTTTGTTTTTTACTGGGTCTGAGATGATGCATTCTGCAATGGTTTCCCAAACCTTCAGCTCTCCCTCTCGTAGTGTACCTGTTCAGGCTTCAATGTCCTTCTCCTGGATGCGCGGACATCTTCGCGGGGCCGAAAAAAGCTTGGTGTGCTCGTGTGAGGGTTCATGACACGTCGGATGTGTTCGCCTCGTCAAGTTTGACGGGCTGCAAAGTTTAGTCTTTTAGGAAACTAAAAAGAAGACTGTCCAACTCCAAGTACTCGAAAGAGGACTGTATAGAAACCTGCAGAGTTGGGTCGCAGCTGTTCCCGACTCAACCCCCGAGTGCGCCGTACACGTGGGCCATGTTCCCAACACGCCCCCCCTGTGTTCCCAACTCACACCTGCCCCGTTCCCAACACGTGCCCCCCCCGTTCCCAACACACCCTCGGCCCGCTCCCGACACTTGTAACCAACACAGCCATTTTTTGTTATTTTTTCAAACCAAATCATAAGTGCATGATAGGTGGGATATGTTAATTGCGTCATCCCTGGTATGTGCCAAGCCGGATTTAGAGGTGTTGGAAGGCTGGGACTCAGGGGTTTGGGCCGGTTTCGGGTTCACAAGTTCATAGTGTCATCGAGTCTTTTCAGAGGTGCGCAACCCAAGGTTCCTTGCGACAACTCCTGGATGCAGGAGAATCCTGACAAGTGGGAGGGCTACTCCTTCTACACCTGGGAATCGGCCATCGAGAAGTGTGTCACTGTCAGCTACAGCATGTCTACTCAGCCTGTGTCCTGCATGCACTGCATGAATCCAGGCTGTGCCTGTACTTGTGTGCACAGCAAAAAACTCGATTCATTGGTGTCCTAGGTGCTGGCATTTGTTGGGGGCTTAGAGTTCGACCTGCTGCCGTCGCCTCTGACCGAGATGGAGACCACTGTGTGCTGGCCGGACAAGCAACCGGGCGGAGTGGATTTGAGTGTCTTGCGCACTGTAATCCTCTCTGGGGGCGTCCAGCTCTTCAGCCGCACTCTCCGCCTCACCAAGCGCTTTGGCAGCAACACAGACTTCGAGCAGGGCAACATCTACCCAGCACACGAGACATGGCGAAACCCCATTGGCATTGCCACCGGCCGGCATGGCGTCGAGGACGACCGCTCTCTGGAGGCCATGAACCGGGAGGCCTTGCTCCAGAACGAAACAAAGACCACTCGCAGAGCCAAAGAGCGCAGTCGCCGCCCCTCGAAGCGAGACCTCCATTGGAACGAGGAGGAGGCACAGGAGGTCAAACCAGCCATAGACGCCCGTACTGTCACGTACTTGTAGCCTTGCTGGCCATGCTGCTTTGTGAATCACCTGGAGGTGTACCTGGCCTCCCTGCTCTACGACCGCTTCATGAACACCAGTTTAACAAGGCAGCTCAAGGGAGAGGAGGCGCGACGCCACCTCCGATTCATGCAGGAGGCCTGATGCGCGCGTGCGCACGCACGCGCCGCCCCACCGTCCCATCCCCTGCCACCATCCCTGGGAAACCGGCTCATCCACCGCATATAGAGACCTTGCTCAGGAAAGCTGAACCTTCAAGCATCTTTTGTGAGGAGAGTGGGTCGCAGAGCGACTTCGAGCTCTTCAGCTTCAGCAACCCCGGCTTGGTGTCCTTTAACATCCGTGGCATCCTGGCCAACAACGACCTGCAGATCGGACTCAAGGCACGGGGGTTTCAAAGGATACTTGGGCTTCAAGAGCTATATCAGTGCAGATTGCAGATGCGCCTTGCATCTTGGCCTTTCTGTTGCAGGTCAGCTTTGGGCCTTTCACCTCGCCAGAGAAGCGGATCACCCTGGTAAACATCGTGGACCACTATCGCCTGGTCCTGTCAGCCATGCCGTTCGTCTCCGTAGACACGCGCGTCAAGGCCCTCCAAGCCCTGAAAGACTTCTCGGCCAGCGACGTCGCCAATGCGTCTCCCAGCTCCACGGCGGTGGTGGGAGCTCGGGGCTCAGGTGATGTCAGATTCAACAGAAGCATACAGCAGCTCTCATGGCCCTAACAGACTAGCAAGCTCCCCAAAACCGAAGCTTCACCGGCAGCACTGATTCTTTCTCAGGAGCAGCGACTGGGGCAGAACTACGTAAGCGATAACAAGAACTACCTGGTCTTCAGCACGCGCCAGCATGGCCAGGCCATGCATAGCTCAAAGAGCTTTTGTGGGCTCAGGGACGGAAGAAAAATATGGGCAAATTCATATCAGTCGGTTTTGATGTAGGGCTTGTTCTTTCGTTTAATGGTCTTTCAGGTCATGTAGGGAATTCAGATCTCAGGGGCGCAAGACCTCCCCCACCTCACTTCCCCATACTTCCCCACCTCCACCCTCAAGCGGAGCGCGCCTCCAGGTCACGAACCTTTGGAAGGGCCTCATGGCCGGAGACATGACGTGGGAGGTGGTCATGAAGTTTCATGACACACCCCCGTGGCAGACCAACATCATGGGTACTTACGAGTTTGCTGACAACACTTACAGTACATCTAATCGCCGACGTTCCGTGGGTCTTTTCATTCGCCCAGATGGAAGGCACTTCATCGGCGCTGCATTGACGCAGCAGTCACAGGGGGGCAGCGCAGCAGCTGGCCCTAACCTGTTCGATCACAAGTGGCACCACGTAGTCCTGGTGCTCTCCAAGAGCACGCAGAAGGCCTACTACTTCATCGACGGCGTCCTGATCAACTCCTACGACTACCGCGTGGGTACTGACAACCCATCGATTGATGGGACCATAACCATCGGCGGTGGCCATCTCTCGCGAAACTTCAGGAACGAGGTCAGGGGGCCTCTAAAAGCTCTCGAAATCTGAAATGCCCTGAACATGCCTTGAGAATTCACTGAGAATGCTTGAACATGTCCTGAAATGCCTTGACAATGCCCTGAGGTGAGCCGCTTTGCTATTTGGAGCCGGGCATGGTCCCAGGACGATGCGACCAAGGAGGGGGAGCCGGTTCTGTTTTTTAGGGTGATAACTTACGGTGAGAAGGCTTGCGAACGAGGTTCGCTTTTTTTTGGCGGGGGGGTGGGGAGGGGGGAAGGGCCCTAAGCCTGCGGAGACAGCACTGGAGGAGGATGCAAACGAGGAGCGGTTCACGCTCTCGAAGCAATGCTGTAGCTTGTAGCTTGCAACACGTGCCCTGCTTATCGCCGGGCAAGAAAACGAGGAACACCAAGGCCGATGTGCCGAAGTCCATCGAAAAGTCCTAACGAGGAAGAGTAAACAAAAAAAGGTACTTTCCCGGGCGAAGCTGTGAAAAACGGAGGACTCAAGTCGGCAAGGCCGGGAAGAGCCCTGGCAGAGTGCACAGGCCAACTTCGGACTCTGGACATTACGCTGTCCGAGTTTCGAGGAGTGAAGGAGGAAGCGACCCACGTGAAGACATGCGGAAGGACCTGCTCATCGGAGGATGTCGGGATGGCGTGTGCTTTTGCCGGGTCCGTGAGCCAACCGCAAAATGTGAAGTTGAGTCCCATCATGCTTACCAAAAGGCGAAAGAGGCTTTCTCAAAGGGGTGGCTTAAACTTAAGGCAAGGCTTTTGAGGCGAGGTCTTCCGAAACGTTGAGCGGGGATGTTTCTGAATTTCGGCAGGGCCTTCATCTTAAGTTTGGGACAGCCAATTTACCTGTGTACATTGTCTTTTTGTACGTACTCTAGGCAGGAGGTTGACATTTTGTATTTTGAACCTTTCACAAGAACAACCTTCCCATTCAGAGGGGGGGAGCAGCTCGCAGGATCACGGGGGGCCTTCTTTGTGCCGTTCTGTGAGGGGTGGGGACATGTTTAGGTGGATTTCTCTCGTGTTGTGCAGGCCAAGACTTGCAACGTGGACACCCGGGGCCTGAAGGCACGAATGGAGGGGAACAATTTCAGGGACCCTTCTCGCAAATTGAGTTTCGCTTTGTGGCTTGGGGCCTTACGGTTCTGGAGCAGTGTGACGTTGTAGGTCTTACTAGCGTTTTGGATTTCAGTGCCTTCGAGTCTGCAACTTCCAATCCGACATGTTAAGCCGTACAGGTCCTGTACACCCTGGATGGTGGCTACGAGGATTGAATCAAATCTTTGCAGCTCGTTAACCGAAGGAAGGTTTTTTTGAATCAGAATTGGCGAAGTTTGGCTCGATCAGGACATCGAGGATCACTACCTCGACCTAAGCAGCAAGGGCTCCGCCGGATCATTCGCGGCCTGTACCGACTGCCAGCACTGCGCCACTTATGCCAGCACAGCCGTGAGCATCCGCTGAGAAGTGCGATGCGAGGTCCATAGGCTTGTTGTAAGTGCAGCCTGCTTTAGCCTGTGCATTTTTTAAGCAGGCGCCGAAAGGACTACAGGGCAGGTGCAGCTTTTGCCCGCAGCTCGAAGAGGCGGTGCAGTTGCGCAGGTGCAGTGCACAGAGCCGGCCCGTGTGAGCGCCAAAAGTCCAGCGATCTACCGGCATCTGAGGGAGAGCCGGGAGAGCCAACTGCTTAAACAGATGTCCTCTGTTCTCCTAATGTTTTATAAAACATTAGATTCTCAGGACATGAAACACATCCCAAAACATCCCTCACTGATTCACATTCCTGATGAGGCACCGGCATAACACAAGTCAGCGCTGCAATTGCCGAGCAACACAGGTCACGGAGTCACAGGCATGGAAGCATAACGTGGAGCATGGTGCAGAGACGGATTCACCCAGAGTTGCACGGACGAAGCTCTCTTATTCTAATTTCCCGCCTTTTGCACCTTTCGTTCTTGTTTCTCTCATCTCGAGGCACCCTTCGAAGCATGCGTTGCACGGTTCGGCGAGGGAAGACGAGCGAAGACAAGCGACGACGAGCCGAATGCCCGCACGAAGCGGTGGTAGCGCGGATCTCTTACAACACAAGGGATGTCTCCTACTTGGATCTTCTTTCTTTCTCTCTCTCTCTCTCTCTCTGTGCAAGGGTCGCACCCGACCCTGGCTGACGACGGAAACCCTGAGGACTGGCCGCGTGGCTGGCAGATGTACGCATCGAGCGCTGGCAACGCAACAATGTGTGCTGCTGCCAAACATGTCGCCCAGTTCCCAGGCGCTGCTGCGATCCCAAGCTGGGCCACAGATGTGCGCTTGGCTCGTGGCGATCCCAGCCACTGTGCTGCCACCAGCCGCGAGGCAGCTCTCGTTGCGACGCCGACTAAGGCAGCCACTGCACCTGTGAGGGAGCGCCTGCGGCCCGAACCGCGTTACGGCGCAGACGGCGATAGCTTCGGCGACCACGCATTTGCCGGCCCGTGCACAAGCGCCGGAATTGCTCCCTTTCGTGCGTTTCCTTCCATGTACTGGCCGTGGGAATCCGCACGCCGCTGACGGGACGTTCCCCATGGCGAAGGTGAGCAACGCCCCCACGCTTTTTCGCCCTCGGACAGCACGATGCCCTCCAACAGGCGGCGTAAGCGCTCCATCCCGACGACAGCCTCGTCGCTTTCCTGGATGACCTTTGCGATGACTTCGACGTGGTCACGATGCCTTCGGGGCTAGAACCGCCCTTGTTGATGCCACAGTGCGCGTTGTAGAAGACCCGTGTGTCATCGCCTCCTATCTCTAGCAGGCCCCGCCCCGCCTGGGATCGCGGAACAAGCGTGCCGGTGATGCAAGCTGCGCGAGCGATATGACACGCAGTGGGATGGGGGCTGTCGGCCCCTTCGTCGGCAGCCTTTTTTGCGGCTACCTTGCCTACTTCATGCCGTCAAAGCGTGACTCATGCGTTACTGACCTGCGGGTGGGGTGCGCCGCGGCACCACGCCTCGGGTTTCGCGCCGTAGCCATTTTGGCTCAAGTGCCATCTTGGCTGCAAGGTGCTCAAGTTTCATTAAGCCCGTCCGCCCTGCCGAAACTCGCGCTCGTTATGGTCGGGGGGGATGGCCGGCAGTTTTCGCCAGGTTTTTTGCCGAACAGGCCCCGCAGTCGGTCCCCGCGGCAATGCAGCTCCCATCGACACGCTGGGCAGCGGCGACACACGCAGTTCTGACCTGTGCTGCAGGCGTGCCGCGCTACTTCCGGCATGGATGTGGGCCTTGTGCGCATTGTTGGGGCTGGCTGTGTGCAGATGTGCTACTCGGGGCATTGATTGCGGCTGCCATGGGATTGCAAATCGCGGCGCGCGCAGTGCTGGCCCCTGCCTGGGCGACGGCTGCACGCGAGCTGTTGACTTGCGCAGCCGAGGGCGGGGAAGCGGAGCTCACAGCGCTGGCTGCGGCGGCCGGGCAAACGCCCACGGCATTGCTCTGCCGCCTGTCACACGAGCCGCCTGCGCCCAATCTCCCAAGGCCCCTTCACAATCTTCACGTGCGCGACCCCGCAAGCAGGCCGCCAAAAACTGACGCTTGTGAAGGGGGGGGGGGGCGGGGGTGAGATGGACACTTGTCGAGGCTATGCTGCACGTGCGTGCCTTGTAAACAAGTACTTTACAAAGGAAACGCCCGCAGAATAGACGCAACGCACCGCATAGACGCAATGCACCCTGAGCATCAGCGCTGGGCGGGGGCGCGGAAGGTGCGGAGGGTGCGGAGGGCGCGGAGGGCGCGGAGGGCGCGGAGGGCGCGGAGGGCGCGGAGGGCGGGGGGCGCGGGGGGGCGCGGAGCGCGCGGAGGCGGAGGGCGCGTAGGGCGCGGAGGGCGCGGAGGGCGCGGAGGGCGCGGGGGGGTGCGGAGCGCGCGGAGCGCGCGAAGGCCGCAGAGCGCGTGAAGGCCGCGGAGGGCGCGGAAGATTACCACCCCGTCAACCGTGTATACATCGCGCTCTGGACCCCTTGTCATGTCCACGTGTGCCCCCCCCCCCCCCTCAACCGAATGTCACGCTCCCCGTCCGCGCTCCCCCCTCCTTGTCCTCGCCCCCTCGAACCCCTCCGTCAACCGCACATCCATGCCGAATCCATGCACGGCCCATGCCTCCCCGCCCCTCTCCCAGCAACATGTTCCGACCTCCCTCCCTTGACCATGTCGTCTTCTTGTCGTCTCCGTGGCCTCCCGTCAACACTCATTCCAGTGGCCCTCCCTTCTCCGTGCAGCCTGCCCCTCCACTCCCGCGCGGCCTGCCCAGCGCTCGCCCGCAGGGGGAGCCCAAACGCCAGTGGTGCTGCTCAGCCCGGCGTTGCGTGCCGGCGCCTATCCTGGCAGCCGCGCGTTTTGGATGCATCGTCGCGCTCCGGAAGCCGAATGGCCGTGTCCGCGCCCTGGTTGTTGGGGATGTGTTTTTTTTTTTTTTTTTTTTTCCGCCGCCTTGTCGCCCGTAGTTTGGCCCAGCACTTCGCCGAAGAGCTTCAGGCGGCATGCATGCCCTACAGCCCTACAGCACGCACACGGGCACCGAGGGCTCTGAGCGCACTCCCTCAAGTCAGTGCGCCCCCTGACACGTGCCCGCCACAACCTCCGCGGACCCAAAACAAAAAATCCCCCGCTTCCATCGTCATTGGGGACTTCCTTCGGCGACTCGTTGCCCGAGCCCTCGCCCAGCAGTTCGCCCCAGAGTTCGAGGCAGCTACTCGCCCCCACCAGTTCGCGCTCTCCACGTGTTGCGGCGCCGCAGGCCGATCCTTCGCTGACGGTCCTGTCAGTTGACGGGGTTGGGGCTTACGACCACATCAACCGCAACGCCATGTTGAGCGAACTGTGCGGGTTGCCGCGGGCAAACGCTGCGCTGCCTTTCGTCCGCTTGTTTTTCGGACAGCCCTCCTCCACCTACATTTGGACCGACGATCAACAGGTCCCTCACCGGGTCGAGCAAGCGGAAAGCGGCGAACAGGGGGATCCCCTGATGCCGGCCTTGTACGCACTGGGAGTTGCGCCGGTCCTGCGCTCTGTCCAGGCAGAATTGCGCCCCAACAAGCGACTCTTGGCCTTCCTGGACGACACCTACGTCACGGTGAGCCCCCCACGTATCGCTGATGTTGCTGACGGGCTCACTCGCCACCTGGCTTCCCAGGCGCATGTCCGCTTGAAAGCAGGCAAGACGCGCGTGTGGAATGCGGCGGGCCATGAGCCCAGTCTACCCGCCGCGCCAGACGGCCAGCGCATTTGGGTCGGAGACCCGGCGCTCCCCTCCGACCAGCAAGGCATCCGTGTTCTTGGCACGCCCCGAGGCTCGGCTGAGTACGTCGAGGCGCAGCTTGTCCAGCACGCTGCGAAGCATGAGGTCCTGCTTCACAAACTCCTGCTTTTGCAGGACCTCCAGGTTTCGTGGTTGTTGCTGTCCCTCTGCGCTTCGCCCCGTGTTCAGTACATAGGGGGTCGTGTGTCCCAGCTGCTTTGGAGCGTCTCGCACCCCCTCTACACGATTTCAGCCAAGGTCTGTTTAGATGAAATACCCCATTGCGCTGGGCATTTCAGCCGACACCTCCCCATTCCAGCTATCTCCAACCAACATCATGTAGTCTCAATTGCGTAGTCTATTGAAAGCCGTGCCAGTGGCGTTCACACACGGGCAAGGGCACAGCTTGGAGGTGAGCTCTATCACGTTTTTGAGGGGGTTCTTTATAGGGATTCTGTCAACTCTATTCGGGCCTATCTTGGGGCCATTTCAGTCTTATCTTGGGGCATTTCAATCAATTCCTGGGGGCATTTCAGCCTTATCTTTGGGCCATTTCAGCCTTGTCTTGGGGACATTTCAGCCTTATCTTGGGGTCATTTCAGCCTTATCTCGGGGCCCATTTCAATCTTATCCTGGGGCCATTTCAGCCTTATCTTGGGGGTCATGTATCCTGTCGTGGTCGTTCCTTATTCCGAGGCCTTTCCTTGAGGTGCTCGACGAGCCCTTAGAAGTCGCCAGACGAGCCCCGAAAACCCTTCCAAAACACGCCCTAAACGCCCCAAAAGCGCTCCGAAAACCAGTGTCAGGTAGGCAGATATTTCAGCCTTATCCGGGGCGGGGTAAGAGTGAAATCCGGGGCCGCGGGTAACAATGAAATCTCGAGCTCTTCTTGGGGGAACCCAGGATTTCAGCCTTGTTTTCCCGGACAGATTTCAGCCTTATCCCCCCCCAAATAAGAGTGAAATTCTGACCGATATGTTTGCCATACCGGCACCGTTTCGGGAGCCAACTTTGGTGTGGATTTTGAGGTCATTGGTAGAGCCTTGGGCGATACAGGACCATGACTCGAGTAGGTACTGTAGGATAAGGAGTGAAAGTGTACATGTGTGAAATAATAATGGCTTAAATCCCCATATATAAGAGTGAAATGCAAAGATTGAAGTCCCAAAAGATAAGAGTGAAATGAACCCCAGAAT